CCCCCTCAACCGAACAGCCATGATCCAAATATCGTATAATATTCGAACATAATATTTTCCAGTAAGTAAATAACGGCAATACTATTATATCATATTTAAATCGATGAAAGCGTGGTTTTAATAATTGCAAAATCCAAAAGTCTGGTATTATAACGGCTGGATTGGTAGTAACGCTAATTAAGGTACATATAAGTTTGCTCTTTGTTATGATCGTCGACCTGAAAGAATACAACAAACTTTTTATAATACGTACTTACACGGAACTTTTATATATATACATTTTTTGTTGTTTTTTTTTTCAGACTGGTTTAAAACGTTGCCAATACAATCACGATAATCGTATTCCAATATAGCTAATGAAACTTAAAAATATTTCGTACAACGTACACAATATATACGTAAAAGTTTCCTGTGTTATATGTTCAAATACTTTCTGTACGCAGCTACCAATGATTCTTCGCCAACATCACTATCCATCCAGGTACTTGCCCCAAGGTTTTGGAAAGCTTTATTATTTAAGAAACCTTTTGTAGGATGTTAGGAAAAGTAAACAAATTTTCCCAAAGTTCTTTTTCCCGATGGCTTATCGATATTGTTACCATTGGCATAACGTTAACTACGCTTTGGATTTTAGAATGGTTATACATGGTTATACACGGTTTACATGGCTATAAATACCTGTAATAAAGCTCGTGATCATTAATCTTCGACGGTAATTTCGGTTTGCAGTGGCGACATTCGCCGTCTCCTTTGCTCTCCATTCTGCTCCCTCGTCGTCATCCTCGGCATCCCTTTCGTCTCTGCCCCTGCTGGCCGGTTGGTCGCGCGGCGCACAGTATCCTGCACGTTCTCGCGCTTCCTAGGATAATTAATGATCCTAAAAGCGATCTACTCACGGTTGTCTCGTTTTAGGGCAATCTTTCTCCGTCTTCCGAGCCACCGCCTCCGCCCCCCTACCCCCTCGTTCGACCATTCCTCTCACGTTACGCGCCCGAAACTTCGTTGCGTGGGTCATCATTTGCCCCGTTGTAATAGTCGTGCATACCGCGTAAAACGATGCTGCGTGAAACGCATCGGATTGTCCAGTCGCTAAAATCACGGACAAGATGGCGACACCGAGCGTTTCCCGGCGAGAACGCTTCGATAATCGACAAACGTCTTCGGAAACGATTAACACCCGTTCGGATAGACAGAGCGTTAGTGCTATTAACAACATCGTTATTTCTCGGAAATTTGTCATTCTTATTGTGTTTGATGGACGGATTATGCAGCACCTTGCAAGGTTCTGTTGTTGCAGTGTTTCCAAGTTCGTTTTGTACGTAGCGGCATTGTTCGAGTTTCTCATCTACGATAAATCTTACTGAAAGGTAGGGGATTAGCACCGACCGAAGGAGTTCAGTAAAAATGGAAAGGGGGAACGTAAAGTATTAGCATAGAGAAAGACCAGGTGGCGTCTTCGGCCAGTCTTCGACAGCCGTCGATCTCTAATTATCTGGAAACACAGGTAACCCAGCGGCAAACTTCCCTGCCTTATTTGCTCGATAATAAACGAATATTTTCATGACAATCGTTCGTACACGAGAGAAGGATGAGCCAAGAGACGTTCGACCGGGCATTATCTCACCTTGGTTAATTCCTCCTCAGGTTTTCTCGCTCAACCTTCCGATCCGTCGACAAACGTTCTTGCCTCTCTTCTTCGTTCCTCTCTCGTACGCGCATCTTGTCTTTCTTCCCGGCCAGTGAATACGGAAGCGACGAAAGCTGGAATTTCCGGTTGATTCGGCACGCTAACGATGGGGTGGTTCAACACCCCGTAGGGACCACGAACACTTACGCGATCCCCCCATTGTCAACCTTTTGCCGCAATCTGCTCGTCGATTTGCACAATAATGGACACGCACCGGCGAACAGCAAATTAGCGGAGAGAAACCGTTGAATCGGTTTCGCGTCTGGCATCGCACGTTCGCGTTCGTCAGCGTGCGTTTCGATGCTAGACGCGACTTCCTTCTCGATCGTCGAGTTGACGCCAAACGAACGTGATCGACCGTGGAACTTTGCTAAAAGAAGGGAAGGACGGAAGGATCGTCTATAGGCGAGTGAACTAACAACCGATGAATTGATCCGCGTTCCAGGAAGCCGAGAAACGAAATCAGCCGCCACGGAACGTGTAATAGAGCCGGATCATTTGCATTATTCTAATAATCGGTTGTGCGTTCCACGTACGGTTTTGCGATTTCTTTGGTAAGTCAGCGCAACGTGGTATCGACGTCTCTCGAACGTGAAAATGTATCCACGACTGTTGCAAACTATGAACGAAACTGCGTGACAGCAATTCATCGTTGCAATGATTCATCGTTGACGAAAAAAAGGCCAATGGTCTCCTGTAATTGAATATTACCGGCCTAGATTCCCGCGATCCGATTCCACGAACAGAGTACCATTACAGTCTGCGTATCCGTTCTTGCATCAATATTTAATCGTGGCTAACAAGATGGCGTTGGTATGCACGCCACCCAGATGGGCTATAAAAGCCCAACCAGGCCCCGTAATAGTTAACTTACGTTCTCGGTACATCCTTGCGCAGTGGCGTTAATGTGCGTATGTCCATGTGTCGACGACAACGCGTCTATGTATTATATGCTGAAGAGAGACAGAAATAGAAGAGCGAAAGGGGAGAGAAAAGTTCACGAGGCGTACAGAGAAAGAAGAGAAACGTTTAAGATTTCCAAAGGTAGAACGGAGAACGAAAGAGCAAATAGTCGGACCTCGTGGCTAGGCGCAGGCCTGAGAATTGTCAATCGAAGGTGCCAAGAAACGAGAGAATGTCCCGAGGCGCCCGAGGCGCGGCTTCTCAAACATCCTTCCTGTGTCAGGGGCCGCGAATATTCCCGGACTTGCGCGTTATTCCGAACGGATCATGATTACTCGCGTAGTCTATTTGCGCTGTGGTCTATCTATGGAAAACTCAAATATAAAGACCGAGAAGGTTATAAAGAATGCGATAAGCCACGTGTTTCGCCTTTCTCGTAGAGTAGCTTTAAAATTTAGATTTTTCAAATATCGTTTCCTTTGCCAGTTGTATATTTGCTTCTACGAAACTTCCTCCACTATGTCTCCTCATTTCAAAGGTGTTCCTTTCTATATAGTCACGATGTGACGTTACGATCGAAAGATCGATAAAGATCTACCCGTTTCTTACTTTCTGTTCTTCTTCTTCTATGCTTCTTACTTCGCAGGAAGGTTCGATAAGCTCTGTAACGGATTCGATAATCGCTTCGAAAAATTTTACAAGCCTGAGAATTTTAAAGAAGAAGAATTTTAAAAGTCTGAGATGAAAGTAATTCGAAATCATCGACACGAACGGTTCTCGCATAGTGTTCTCGTTGCCAATCAAAGATAAAACGCATTTAGGTTCGATAAACTGCTTATAGGGGACTTAATAATAACTCAAATGTAATTTACAACCTAATTAATTCTCCAGGTAATATACCATAAAACTGCTCACTTACAAGTATTTAGAAAGGGCAATGGAAAAAACATTCGTCAAGACTTATTCCGGAGATTTAACCTAATCCTTTATGCCTTTTGGTAATGTATTTAAAAATGCTTTAATACGACAGAAATAGGTACTCTCAGGTCGTTTGAAATTTCCTACAATTTTTCGATTACGGTCGGGCATACGGGCGGATGCGTGCTCGTATTGCGTATGACGAATAAATTATACCTGTCTCCTGCGACGTAATGACGCTCGTGGTTCGAATGAAACGAGTATCTAACCCCGAAGCAATTCACGATTTTTTATAGTCCAACTTTGCTCTTAGTTCAGCAAGTAGAGAGGACTTTTGACCCTTAAAAGATACCATAGATGAAAGCTCATTCCATACAAATGTGAATCATCATCTTGAAATAATGGGAACATTTCTATCTTTCGTTCCATATTAACGATAATAATCCCTATTTTAGTCTCGCTGCTAAACAAGAGACTTGGTTTACAGCTTCTTCATTTTTATAGAACTATCTAAACCATACATATATCTCACACACTCTTTTTATTCATTTTTTTCTAATCCCGTTTTCTAATCTATCTATTAACCCCTTAACCTACGATTTACGTTCGAGAATGCCCGTAATATTTACGTTTGGCCCGATCATCGTACTACGGGCTATGCCCATAGTTGTAGGTTAAGGGGTTAACGTCACTTCTACTGTTACGCTTTCCATTCTGGTTACTTTTATCTGCTGATACAGACTGGCAATTAATTTTATTGATTTCTAAAACAAACAAAAAATATACCAAGATGAAATTTCACCCGTAATATCTGCTTATTATTATTTTCTAACGTGATTTTCTTCGATAATAGCTGTTATGTTTTAAGAACTATTAACGTTCTTCTTTAGCATAAAATTCAAGCTGCTAATAGTACGCGGTCATTGATAATAATTCTTTCTTATTCTGAACAAATTCGAAATATCTGTAACAGTTAGAAAGATGCGTTGGCCTAAACAACGAAAAAATTCAGTGAAAGTAAGTAGTTGCTATTAATGGAAATAAAGCAAATTAAAAACAAAGCGTTGTATATTTAATTTATCACTAGACGATTAGCATTATCCTAAGCAAACATAAAGATATTAAAGACTAGATAAGGGTGTTTACCAGTTTAAAGTTGGGTTTTATTTCGGTTAGAGAGGATCTTCCATTAAATTTTGAAAATCGTAACGGTTAAAATTGAAATGAGCGAGGTCACGGCTAGCCAAGGGGGTCCTTCGGCAGGTCGGATAACCTTCCAAGAAATACCGTAACGGACAATGACTACCTACCGACTCGGAAATTAGAGGACCGATGGGTTTTCACTTGCTGTGCAAAAGATCGAACGGATCCAGGCGAGCTATAATTTCTTCAACGTTCACTTTCCAATTGTTTCCTTTAAAATATTTCAATTCGCAATTAAATCCATAACTAAAAGAAAAGGTGACCTCCATGCTTGACCATGGATGCGATCTACTCGATACATTTGGTGGAAAGCTCGCACGAATTTTATTTTATTTACTGCTTTGCATTGTACGAGTGAATAACGTAAGTGCAATTAACGCTGTGAATAAAATAATGTACCGATCCAAACTTATTGGATTCCTTCGGTTTTGTTTGCTTGGTTATAACAGTTAGTGCGATGAGTCACGATACGTATATACTGATTTGTACGCAGTTTTCGCTACTAAATAGCCATGATATTTTATTTATTTTTACGCATTATATGCATTGCTCTACGATAAATTGTTGCACCTTTGAGTTACGTATAAACGTATAAACGCCTGCGATGATTTTTAATACCGCTCGAATGGTTTCTAATCCAAATTACATTTTTTCCGTTTTCACATTCAACGTCGCGTAAATATTAACTTCCTAAACTAGAACTTCCCAAGAACCACGAGATATTTACGTCCCGAATAAACCGATATATCGCAATGGTTAAAGTGCCGATAAGGAAAAACCAAATTTCTCTTCGGTCAGTCGATATTTCCTCGACTCGACCAACCGAGCGGAATCGCAAATCGCACGAGTAAATCGTACATCGTCCGTGGCGTGCAATTATCTCGCGGTTGGTCCGCGAGGTCACAGGGGCGGTTCTTAACTGCGGTTCGCTTCGTTCCTCGCGTAGATCCATATACCCTTATAAAGGATCACGTTTGTAAATCATAAAATTCGCAGTTTCACACGCTCTCCACTTCGGCCAGCCCTTCTCCCTTTCGTTCCTCGTCTCGTTGGCGGAGGAGGAGAGCCCTCTCCGCGGGCTGCAATTACCTGCAATTTGTACTACGAACAGCGTATACGCCATCTTGTCTGTATATGTGACGCGAAGCGCATGCAGATGGCGTACAAACGCGCGGGAGAAACCGGCAGAAGCCTGGGGAACGAGGCGAAAATGAAAGAGGAGAAGCTGTAGGACTTGAAACTATACACGATGGAAAAAGGAGGACTAACCGCGTAGAGAAACGAAGAGGAAAAGAGAGCGAAACGGGACGAGGAGAGTTAAAGAGGGTGCATGTTCCGCGCAGACGTTGCAGGCCGGAGAAAATCGTAGTGACCGCGTCGCTTTTCCAGTATTTTCGTTCTATTCCATCCACGCCAGTTCGTATTCTATTTTCTCCTTGACCCTCTCTATCTTTGTGAGAAAATATTGTAGTTTCTTAAATTCGAATACGTTTTAACATACGTATCCTTAATGTTTGCACTACGAAGGAAAGAAACAAAGATGGAGAAGTGAGAAAAATGAATTACTTAAATAAGCGTAGTTGGTATCCACAGTCGGTTTATGGAATTTTCATCGATTGAATTTAATTACATAACTGATTGTGCATTTCTATTATACGAACGAAATATCGTTTCGATGCCTTACGAAAAATCGATCAGAACGAAGCTTCACCGTTATCATTAAATAAAACATCGTTGTAATGAACGAAGTTTAAATAAATAAAACAGTATTTTTGTGTATTCGAGAAAACGGAGAAAAATTGACGAATAGGAATGATAGGTATCTACCAAAACGAACCGTGGTAACTATGTCATATAATTGACGAGATCAAACAATCAGGATGTTAACTGATTGACGAATGGATCTAAAGTTTAATACCACTTATCGGCAAGTGCATGTATTGCATTTTCTCGTTTCTTCTTTTCTTTCTTTTCGTTGCTTGTGTCCTCTTCGATCTCGTCCTGCGCGATCACCGATGTCCCGCATGGTTTACTACGGCACTTACTTACTTCGTGTACTACGAAGAAAAACACTTGCGATACTCTTGTCTGTTTACAACGCTATGTCTTACCAATTATATACATATATACAAGTCGCTTGTTGCTCGTGGGAACAATTTTATACGACATCCAGATACCAGGGTTTGTGTTTTTCTAACGTTCCGTCCATGTTGGCGAATATCACCCAACGTTTGTAATCGCACCTGTAGTTGGAGAACTTGGTTGAAGAACTGAATATCTAATTTTGTATAAATATATGATTCTGAAAAAGAAATATACAACAAAGTAGATACTTAAAAAATAAAATTTAATAATAATAATAATAAAATCTCTATGTGAAATCAGATGACTGTAATTTTTTGGAAGATAAAAACGAATAGTACTTTGACGTTCGTTATATTTCGTTCATTATTCGATTATTTTCGCTCAGGTTTTTGGGTGTAAACGAAAGTCCGCGTGTGTATAGACAAAAGTGATCGTTTACGAATAAACAGTCAGATCAGTACAATGTTGCTGCGTTCATGGCCGATTTCACCTACAAAATACATTCACAGTCCAACGGCCATGTTTTCGAGATTACGTATTCATTTATATTTCGCGATACGAATCCTCGGAAACTCGAACCAAATCACGACTCTTTCATAGTCAGATACATAGTAGTCTACAATTTTCTCCGGAAACATCGTTTTTATCACGGAACACGATCTGTTGCCTAATAAAGGGAGAAGGTAGGTCTCGTGACTGACATTTTTCGCGTAGTATCGCGAATAAGATCGTTGCAATCATGGTCAATTAGCAGGGACCTTACGCAGCCATATTCTCGATGGAACATGATACCAGTATGAAAATGCAAGGGGGATCGGGAATGGACTCGGCCGTTTCCATCGAACCCTCGCCCGCTCGGGACAGCACACGAGTTAACGAGCGTGCAGGAAAATGGAGAAAAATATAGACGTCAACCGGAACGTGGACATGGCTGACGATGATTATCAACCACGGTAACAGTACTCTGTTTGATAATTGAATTCCTCGTCAGGAAGTCTTGCAGAAAATCATCGTATCGATAGATTTATTGCAAACTACTTTAAATTTTCGCGCAAAGAATATGCACTGGATATTTCAGGGTCAAGTGACCGAGATGAAACGGAAGCGAAAACTCTCAGGGAAATTCGTGCTACCGCACCGAAAATCTCCGTCATCTACGCTTGAGTTCGCCACATAGGGGTCGTTATCCGGCAGGGTGCGCCAAGAGGAGCATAGAGAGAAGGGAGGGAGCAAAGAAAGGACGACTGAAAGATATATACGAGAGAAGAAGACGGTAGAGAGATGAGGGAAAAGAGGGAGGTGTCGATACCGGGCGTAACCCGTCGGTCTACCGCCTACCACAGCCTGATATGCGCTGCCAGAAGACGGCGTTGGCGTCCCAGGCCTCCGCCCACTGGATGCTATTTCGCCTGCCCGTTCGTTCTTTCCGCCAGCGAACGTTCGAAGTCTGTACCAAGGCGTGGAATAGTAGAGGGGATCGCGAACACGACGGAATATCCCGGCGTCAGATCGCAAGGGGACGCGAGTGTGCGCGCGTCAGCTCTGTGTTCGGCAGTTCTATCGTTTCTCCGGGTCATCGTTTGCCGGTCCGTTCTCGTCTCGTTTCTTCGCGTACCGTTTCATCTGATCGGTGAGCTAGTTGCAATTTTTCCTTCGTTATATTTACAACAATCATTCTGAATCGTAGTCGTTCTCGACTACGTTTGGTTGCTACGATGCGGAACGACGTCGATGGCGAGTTCCCTGTGTAGTCACGAAATCGGTACCAGTCACAGTCTGTCTTTGTCACGTTCGTGGAGTCTTGCGAACGCACCCGATTACCGCGTGTCCTGTACCTTTTCCCTGGCTTCACCCCTCCAAATCCAGCTACGAGTCTTCTCTTTCCCCTTCTCCCCTCCCCTCCCCGATCTGTCCTTTCTTCCTACTTCCTTAGAGTATAGTCCCTTTTGGTAACGCAGAGTGCGCGCATTACCACTGCACCGCACACAACACTGGGCAACACGTAGGCGAAGTGTACGCGTGCGCGCTCTTCCCTCGTAAACTCTCCACCTTTTTTTTCTTCGCTGTGTAGTGTGTTGTGTATCGGCTGCGAGACGACTTGGACGTTTGCGATAGAAAGCTCGCGCGCATGCCATCAGCGCGCCGCGTGTGCTTTTACTTCAGTGACAGAACAAATTTACGACGTCGATCCAAGAACACCCACAACTTACTGAGACGACATCGATCGAGTTTATCTTCCATTGGAAATTGGAATTGGTTGGTATTGTGAATTTTTGTGTAAGAACAGCGAACGTTTCGTTGCACTACACAAATGTATCAACTAAAGGCATGAACATGTATTCTCGTTGTTTCGATTACAGTGTTTCTTCGCGGTGTCGATGAGGCGTACTTCGAACTCTGTTACTTTTCACCGGTAACGTGACACTTACCGACGGAGCCGATATTAATTCGTTTGTTTCGCGTCACATGCGTTTGGTGTGTATCGAGGATAAAAATCATACTTGCGATCGTGCGCGCGACTCGCTTCACGCCGTGATCTCGTTTCTTTCGTAAACGGTGATAAACGAGAGCGAACCATCGGTTCCACCTTTCTTTTTCGTATTTTGGCAGCGTGTTCTGCTGCGGTCGTGTCACTCGTGTCGTGGGCAACCGCGTTGCGGTAAAACAGTCAAAATTCGGGTGAAGAACAGAGAACCCTTGCCATCCTACGCGATGGAAATGAGCGACGAGTATCAGGACATGGGAAACCCCGGAGGAGGGGTAGCGATGGTCAACATACCTATTACCCATCACCAACGTACGCCTGATAGTCCATTGGTAAGTTTTTTCATTTTTTATTTATATTCCATTGTATTTTTTTTCTTCGTACAAGGACTTGGATGTATATATAAAAAAATATGGATTAATAATTAACGCATTGTGAACAAAAATGAATTAGTCCTAACATTCAATAAAACGAGTGAATCCGCTATCTAAAGTCGATACGAACATAAAATATTCGGTGTAACAATTGATTTTTAACAATTAATATAGTTCATTGAAATAAGTTAATGCATACAAATGTGGTTTAGTCCACTATCTTTGCTCTGAATGTCTCGACTATCGATAATCACGTGGCTTGCCTCTCCATGTTTCTAAATGATAGTTTCACAAAAAATCGATACTCGATCGACAGACTCGTGTCTCGATATTCGTATGTTCGTACAGACATAACGGAAACAATGATTGTAAACTGTAACTAACAATAGCATCGAAAATTCGTTAATTCTATCATCGAACGTAAAAAATGTAATTTAACTCGGACAGAATTGCGTCGTATCCTGTTGTCACGAATTTTCGATTGGTCGATGGATAAAATTGGCTGACAATAGAGAACGGCCGTGTATTTACGTATTTACGATACACATCACTGAAAATACAGCGAAATGCTACAATGTGCCAGAAGGGCAGCATGGTTTACAAACAATGCCAGACCGACCGCCTTTGCGGCTTCGTAAGCGTTTTTTATGTATCTCAGCTACGAGTTTTATGCACGTGCCTATCCTGATATAAAAGTCACATTCGACTTGTTTATAACGTGATCGTCCTAGAAACTTCGATGAATTTAATGCTTCGTAAATGCTAGGCGTGATAATTCTTGTGTATTTTGAAATCTTCTTTAGAATATCGCAAAGGTAATACCAACATACTATCGAAGGTTGAATAATTTCGACGATATTGTTATGGATCGTCGATATCGCGAAATTCTTATACGACCGAGTTCACAAGCGTTCTAAGAATAACGATATCCTTGGTAGAGGAAAGATAAAGCTATATCAAATAAAAAGGCACCTCGGTCGTTTTCGCAGCAGAATTAGCACTGTTACTGTTGGCACGTTTGTCCATAGTCGACTTAATTTTCAACGGCAACCCTTTCACGATAGTGTCCTCAAGCTTTGAATTTCGCTTCTCTTTCCATCTTCAATTTCCATTGGCATTATATCTTAAATCGTGTATACCATTTATTATAGATACGTATAATGAATTTTCATACTATGTTGTACGAAATTCATTGCTCATGCGAAATGACTGTTGAACTTCGTCCTTACGGGATAATTTCTCTTCATAAACGGTAATTTCAAAGATAAGATATAAGTTGTAGAGGGCGTTTATGAAATCCAAAAAGATTTATTACTTTCGTGCCCGGATGTCTGCAGTGTCTCCTACTTTATGTCTCATTAATGTATTTAAGTACTTTACATCGGACAACTTTATGCCCCATTAATGCTTAAATAGTGACGTCATTAAAATTCGTAATCTACTGTGACATCATGATTTCATAGCAAACAAATTAATTTTTAATGACTATGCTTTTATTCTATCTCAGCACTGATGTCATCCATCACAAATTTCGGATAAATAGGTATTTATTTTTCTACTAAAGATATCACCGATATGTATATATATGTCCCTTTGTGTCTGCGACCAAAAATTTTCCTTTGAAGCAGAGCGAATTTTACTATATATATATATATATATATATATATATATATTGCTTCGTAATTTATTATATATATATTAATTTATATATATATTTATACATAATTTATATACATATAATTATAATTATACATATAATTATTTTATATATAATTATTAATTCATTTATAATTTATATATATATATATACAGTAAAATTCGCTCTGCTTTAAAGGAAAATTTTTGGTCGCAGACACAAACGGACGAATAACACCAATAAATTACGAAGCAATAACCGACCTTTCGTAAAAACGTTCCGCAGATTGCAATTTACACTCATAGAAATACAATATAAATGATGGCCGTCTCTCCAGTCACGAATCTCAATGGTTATTGTCAATTTCAATCTCTCGGTTATTTCCTGCAGTAAAATATTCTCGTGTGCGTAGATATTTTTATCCTTTCTTTTATCGTCTATTCTTTTCCACGTCTTTTACACGCTTCCCTACTTGCAATGCCGGCCCCATTACAATACTTTGGAATAATAATAACCCGTAGCGAAGTATCCGAACGTTTCCACTCCCCGTCATCGCGGATCAACCAACGAGATCCAGGAAGCACCGTATTTTCGATCTTTGCAATATGTCCGTTCTAAAAATACGTTCATCGATACGCACGACCCCTGCTATGCCGCGTATATTTAACAAATTTTATGTAATCTCATTCGCAGCGGTGCAGCATATCGGTCGCGAGATCACGTGAGGGAAAAGTCGCTGATTGAACGATGATAGCGCGAGTGATGGGATCAAGTTCAGTATATATCTGTGTATATCGTAACTTATAAATGCGAATCAAATTCATCGTATCGTATTTGCAAAGTATTATTAGCGAACTCGTCTCCAATTTCGGAATGAGTATTAGAAAATTTCTGATAATTTATAATTGATAACTACGATATTTCGACTAATTAGATACCTTATAAATAGTAAAAATGAATAACTGAATTGTGGAGCCAGAAAGGCATTACCATTTCATTCGATTTTTATGAAAAATTTAGGAGTTTAACAGAGGTAATGTACAAAAATTCCTTTCGTTTTGTAATGAAATAATAGAATTCCAATGGAACAATTCCATAAAACAAAATAATATAAAACAAATAATGTTGTGTATCTATTATTTCCTTATAAAACGAAATAAGCATTAAGACACCTGATACATTCCGCTGTCTTCGTTTTCTTGCTATTGTATCATAAATCTATTTATTCCCATCATGTATACGTATACAGCTTCTAATTAAATTGCAGATTTTTTTGCAAATTTATTTTCTCATGAACACGATTAAAAAAATATGGAACCTAGATGGTGATTTATTTCGTTCGCTAGGTATTACGAACAGATCATATTTTTAACATTTGTATATTTTTGCATGATACCGCGCTAGTACCACGATAATATCTTCAAATATCACGTAAACGCATAAAAATCTGCGCTCCACTTATACCAAGTATGTACCAAATCAACTAATATACGTTCAAGCTTTTCATTAAGTGTAACAAGTAAGTGTCCCAATACTTAATACCGGCCGTGTATCTGCGACGTGCTTGAGCCCATCGCTAAATAGCACTGTAAACAAGGAGAATAAGAACGGGTTAACGAGGGTTTCGCCTGGGAAGAAGATCCTTAACAGCGAGCGAATTGCCCGGGGATGAACGGCGCGACGCGTCGCGTTGTCGTTGCGCCACGAGAGAGGTGTAAACACGAACCCGGTTGATTCAGTCTGAGCTCGTTGTCAGCGTGTGCGTGAGCTCGTGTCACAGGCCACTCTATACGTCGAGTATTTGCACGTACGGTCGCGTTAAGGGGTGAGCTGTGTGACGGAACGGGGAGAAAGAGGGGCGATGTAATTCGCGCGCGCGCGCAAAGAGAGGGAAAAGAGTTGGAAACGGGGGAAAGAAAGGAGAGGGCGATAATCGGGTGAAGATAGAGATCCAGGTAGTACAGGAGAGGGAGCGAAAGAACGTGAGAAGAGGGGGGCACGAGGGGCAGCTTAGCTGGGTCCAACGTCGAGGCAAACGGTGTGCAGAACGTGGTACAAAGGCGGGGATTCCTCTTTCGGCCAATCGGATCGGCTAGCGAGTGCGCTCGCTTATATACACGGCTAGCCTGGCTGTTTCACCTGCAGACGCCATGTCGTGACGTCATGTTTCGTTAGGACGGGACCAGGTAAAACATGTGCGGTACCATTGTCGTGGCAGTGCTGCTAGCGCCACCCTGGAACAAGGGTACCCTTTTGAGATTCTTTCAAATTTAGACAGTTAAGTTAGTTGAGTTTAGGTCGATGAATGTTCGGACGAATGAAACGTTTGAAGATGGAAACGCGTATACCCGTATGAATCTTTATATTTGATTGTTTCGACGTAGTTGCCAGGGTGACAAGGTTTAAGTACTCGCACGGAATGTGATTACAGTCTAGCACGATCATCGCAGAGTCGATTTCGGGTGACGCGTTCTATTCAGCAAGGTCGTATTACAATTTTAAATTACAATGAACAATGAAATATATAATTAATTCTATTACTTATATTCCGCGAAACGTGATATCCATGATATTGCGTGTTGTACATACTTTTACATATTCATTACCTTATGACAGCCTTGAAAATCTTTTGTTGCTCACCGATGACCGACATCCTGTTGAACACGTTAATAGCCTGTTTGAGTCAAATTTCAGATAGGTATCCATCGAACAATTTGATCTTTATTCTTGCGAATAGCAAGTGGTTGGAGTATAATCATATAGGTATATAGAGAATGATCATTCACGACTGTTTTGTGGTTCGACATCTTTTGATACAACTTTGACAGTTGGCAAGGTGCTATCTTCCGTTCTCTAATTAACATTCCCGCAGAGGAACGACCAATTATGTTGGATAGAGGTTTTCATTAGGGACAGACTTTAGGTGAAGAACGTCCTTGACAGTGTATCAGTGTTTCTTATTGGAGGGGTTGGTCGTGCTATTCCCCATTATCTTGGCGGAAGATTATGGCGGAACACGGCCCTAGCCTCCTCCCTCCAAGAGATGCCAACTATTATTCGGCCGTTTTACGATAGCCCTATAAAAATCTCATAATTAGATTTTGAAGATAATATCCTACCGGAGCTCGACCCTTAGCCGCGCCCCGGCCCGTAGCAAAGCCGGACTGAAAATTGCAAACACCAATCTCTTCTCTCCCCTTCTTTCTTTTTACTTCGCAGATACATTTGCAATATGCTCGACCAAGAAAAGAACAAAAGGATTTCTGGACTCGTTCTATTCGTATTATTTGACTGACAGATGCTTAATTTTCATAGTCGTACC